TGCATGTTTCAGCACAGTTAAACTGGATAAAACTAATAAATACTATTTTATAATACAAACAAATGCTAGTCCTATAGTAATATAAAATTTTAAAACAACTATTGAAATTCTATAAGAAATTTACTGTTAAAATATACTACGAATTAAGTAGAGGTATTACTACTGTTAATTTAATGATATGAATCAAAAGATGAATAATAATATATAAAAATTTAAAAAAATAACTCCAAATTGTTTCTATAGTAAAAACTAAACCATATTTTCATTGGATATATGTACCGTTACTAGATTGTTCCACTTGAGCCGGTACAGGAGCTTGATGTTATTTTCTAATAAATTTAAGTCAAATTAACAAACTATAGTGAGTACAACAATAAGAAGAATGTTCGGTAACCGTCAATTTTAATGGATCGTTTCCGGTAATTCGTCATATGATTCGATATATTATACTATAAAAATAAGGGATCTATTATAAGAAATCGTCAAAAACACATGTTTGAGGAATTATCATAAAGTAACACGTAATCACTTATTCCGTGACTGCTTCACTAGGAGGTTTCTAATTTTAAATTAAATTTATGATTATTATTTAGTAAATAAACTTTTAATATACCTAATATAAAATATAAATTTATATTATTCCGTATTAATACGGAATTTTCTTTAGACCCTGTTGGTTTATAATACGAATAAATTTAATATAAGTCGGTAGTCATAGCCTTCATAATTCCTAGAAGGAATTTCGATTACAGAGAAATTAATTCTGATAAACAATATTTTAATATGTTGTATAATTCAATTATTATTTTAACTGAATAACATTATTGGTAATAATATAATGTAAACATAAATTATTAGAATTTTTTTTAAATATTTAATAATCCCTCTCCTTAATTGTTTTTATACTAAAAATTCTACAGTTCATAAAATACACCATATTTTAATCAGATAGATTTTCTAAGTAAATTAAATTTTATCGCTACATTAAATCATGTTATATTTTCCCATAAAATCTTAGTTGTTTGAGTTAAAGATTTTTGATAAATACATTAGTTATTTGTATTTCATTGTATTATTTATTTTATTTAATAAAAAATGTAAATTGTGTGCACCATTACACTATTATAACATTACGCTTCATAAAGTAAAATTAAATGGATCTTCAGTCTCTATTATTTAACGAATTGTATATACCTACCTAAAGTCTTAACCAACTTTTAAGACTGACCATACTGAACAGGTAAATATAGTATACCGTTTGAATGTCAACATTGATTTTCCCATTTTAATAGATTTACGACAATCAATATTGAAATACTTTTAATATATACTTAAAGTCGTGAATAACAACACGACACTTTCCAACATTATCAATTGTGTAAGTATCTATAGTTAAATAATACAAAGAGTCTATAACTTGTCAACCACCATTAAATATTGTTATGTAAAGGTTGTAACTATAAGCATTAAACACGTTAAAGTATAATACAATAATAGTTTACTATTAAATAACGTATAGAATATTATACTCGCCCAAATGATCCTTTTTATTCACTCAAACGATTTATGTATACAAGAAATGCAACTTAATTGTAAGATATTAATTTTCAAGAAAAAAAAAGGTTAAGATTCGCACCAACGACCAACATAAATAAAATGTGCATTAAATAATTAAAATAACTAACTATAGATATTCATAAAATAAGTATATAGTGTATTTTTTTAAGTTTTAAGATTGTCTACATAATAATTACTATAAAATAATAGTATGATGTTATTTTAAACGTGCGAAATATTTTGTCAACTTATCTTTTTGTTTTAAAATACATATTATATACACCTATTGGCTATTATTATGTGTAATACGTACGCGACGTATAAGTTACTATGAGTCATATAGAATATTACAATAATGGCTATTATTCGACCATTATGTTTACACAAACTGAAATTATATGAGTAAATACACCTCTATATATGAGTATGATATTAATATATAGTTATTGTTTAAAGCTACTCAGACGTAACGATTGTAAATCTATTAAATTGACAAACTTTACTAATTCTAATGTCAATATAATCAATAAATAGGTAATATCGATAATTTATTAATTAATCAATATAGATCAATTTCTAGAAGAGGGACTTTATATAATATACATGATTATTATAATCTATAATATTATCAATAAAAACGTTACTATAACGGTAGGTAGTGCAAAGACGAGAATTTTATTTTTTATCCGAATAAATTCTAAAACCTTATCAAATGGACTACGTGTTTTCGCTTAACTGAAAGTAATAAAGCTAGAGATTAAACATCTTGAGTCCCATTTCACCAAAATGTTTTCGTACTGCACAACACAAGACTCACGTGAATCTAACGACATGACATGATGGACAGAGAGAAAATCACCAACGGTGGCGATTATCGACGATATTATTCTAAAATCTAACTAATGATACAAAATTTTTCCGATGACTCGCTATTGCACTGCACAAAATTTACATATTCACGAACTGCAGTAACGTGAAAATGCTTTGTTCAAAAATCGTTGAAAATTAAACAGAATTGAGAATTATAACGAGAATAAAGCGACCTACGGCCACAGTTTTCCATTAATACTAACACAGAAAAATATCACGAATATAAATCTAGGCTCTCACTACACGTATCGCATCGTGTTTCATATATTTAATAGATAGATAACAAAATGTTGGTAAGACGTTACATACAAGTTAAATATATTCAACTATACGCAACACTGCAGTGTAGTAAGAGCTCAGCACAACGTTAACTATAGATATATGCCACAACCGTGGTATAAAATCTACCGTTTCGACTGTAATATAAATTTGGTTACCATGATATTTTTTGTTACTGGTGGGTTTCACTAATCCAACAAAACACAATCAACTCTAACCATTTTCTCAGAATAACAACGGTTCTCGATGAAACTGTAATCGTGTAATCATTTATGATTGTATACTAATAATTTATTATTTATCATAATACAGTATGTTAAAACTCTAGCGAAAGAGTCTAGTACGTAAGTTTGTGAAACTCATAATTTCCGGCCCAATAAAATGTATCTCTTGAACTCCGAGAATTTTATATTCAATATAGGATTAGGTGAAACGCACATCATGTTACATTTGTTGCTTATACTCGTAAGTTGCTTCTAGAGATAAACAGTTATTCTCATACATATTTATAGTGTTATTGGCGTTTGAATTCATTATAATTTGTGTACGCTTAGATTAGTTTATAAAATCCAAGTTAAGTCTTAGTGAAAAGTCTCGTAAATCGTTGTGAGAAAAATGTTAGTAAATTATCGGTTATTGTCAGGTTAGGTAACTTTTGAAATAAAAAAAAAGTTTTTACCATTCATTTTGGAAGCTGATTCGAGAGTGAAGTCAGTGGCGGCTCGTCAGGAGAGACAAGTGAGACTCAGCCTCACTTAACTATTGTAAAAGAAAAGGAGGTTATACTATAATTATAGTTGATTTTAAGAATATTATATTCAATAATATAATAAATATTTTAAAACACAAAAGTTTTTGTTTTTATATATTATTTTAATGACAGAACAAATTTATTTTGTTGTGTATAATATTAATTATCATAGTAGGTAGATAATGATAACATATATTTCGTCACTATTATCAAGAATCACGATCAAGATTTTCGTGGAACAAGTAAGTAACCTCGACGAAAGCCGAAGAGTGCCGGTAGGCTAATAATATTTAGCCTCAGACGAGCTGGACGGCCCTACAGTTATAAAATATATAATGGTAGAGGGAGAAGTCGGAATTTCATTATGAAATAAGGCTGAATGATACAGGCCTCAGAATTTGTCAACATTCTCTATTAATCATTTGTCGAAGCGACATAACTTCCACTAATAGAAATAGGAACAGAGAAGTTGCCATAACGTCGTATAGTTTGCATAGGTAACTCAAAGACAGGAGAATAGATCTAATTTATAAAACATAGTATAAAAAAACATATTTCTTTTCTTTTATTTTAGTAAATGAAATTTATGTAATTAGTATTTTTTTTTTAGTTAACTTTATTTTAACATTTTATATAAATAATATATGCTTTATTTATGGTTAATTATTTATATGTTAAAGGTTATAATTAAATATTAATTGTATTATTTTGAAAGCTAACTTAAAACTCATTTTTATATTTTAACAGCATTTTTTCTACCATGCATTTTGAAAACATCTACCTCACCCCTCATACGGTTCACAAGCTACAACTGAGTGAAGTAGACGGAGTATTTGCTCTTCTATGATAACTTAAAGTTTTTAGAACTAAACAACAAGAACCTTCATTTTGTTTAGCCCTAGTTTTGATTTATATGGCCACCACTATTTTGATTAGTTAATTATTAGGTTTGATTCATATCAAATTATAGATCTCTAGCTGGATCAATCGACTCACTATGTGTATTCTTAGTAGTGTATACAATTATATGTATATATATATTAAAATAAAATAAGTAATTGTAATTATAAATAGATTATCTTAAGTTTAAAGAAAAAGAAAGTACTTTATGCATATTATACTTAATTTAAAACAAAGTACAATAAATATCCAAAAGAATACGGTTGGTAAAAGTTCGTCAATTTTACTACACCGTATGTACGACGTGATAAATATCATAAATAAGTATCTATATATATATATTATGTCAACAAAGCTCGCGGTTATATTGAAAAATAAACAAAAGGTTGTGTAAACGGCGATAGAAAAAAAACGCACGTGCGGGGTACTTCGCGTGCATTATGTAAATCAACACCTGTAAGGACTAAGGGGTCTACCTACTATTATGATATAAGTATATAACATTATGATAAAATAATACTCATAATATAACACGGTGATCGTTACTACCACGTATTTGTTACTAAACGTGTTGAAACGCGTTCGTGGTCAACGTAATACATGAAATAACATTACCGCGTAATCGGATACCGAAAGATGTGAACTACTTACCGATGACCAGCCGATGACCGTTTCTGACGTTCAGTATTCGCTGCACCTCGCCCGCCTCGCTACCGGACTCGCTGCCGGACTGTTGGTAGTGCTGGTGCTGCTGCGACGGCGACGACGGTGACCACCACCGATTCGGCGGCGGCGGCGGCGGTTGCTGCTGCTGCGGTTGTCGCAAGGGGCCGCCGCGCTGCTGCAGCGTGCCGTAAATGGCCGACGTGGACGGGCTCCTCTTGGGCACGAGCGGCAGTGGCCGTTCAGCGGCCACCGGAGATTCGGTCGACCGTTGACGCGTGGGCGGTTGCGGGGACGGGCCCTTCTTGGTGGGCCAGTACGCGGGCGGTTCGGACGGCCCCGGCGAAAAGCTCACCTTCTTCGGGCTGCAGCCAGACGACGGTGACGGCGGCGTCTGCCCGGCGACTGACGACGAGTCGGTGGCGGCGGGCTCTTGCAGGGTGCCCCTCTTGAAAATCGGCTGAAACCTCTTCTCGCCCACGGCGACGGCAGCCGTGACGACGTCCTCTTCTGTCTCGTAAATGGTCGACTGCCGGCCCGGCGATTCCCGGACGCACCCGATGGTGGCCCGGTGCGGCGACCCGCGGACGAACGGGCCCGCGGCGCCGGCGCCCACGTTGCCGTAGATGGCTTGTTGCTGTTGCTGTTGCTGTTGTTGTTGTTGTTGTTGTTGTAGTTGATTTTGCTGTTGCAGTCGATGTTGGCGGACGGCAGCAGCGTACACCGCAGTAGATGACGATTGCGGCGCGGTGATCTTGACCTGCGCGCCGACGGGCATGAGCAACAACCTTTGCTGCTGCTGCTGGTGCTGGTGCTGCTGCTGCTGCTGACCACCGCCGCCGTTTCTGTTGTTGTAATACTGCGAATAAGGTATGATGGGAGCGGACCGCCTGCCCGACGGCGAGGGAAGAAGCGACGACGTCGACGACGATGACAACAGCGAGCACGGGCTGTCGGTCCGACGTTCGCCGCCACCGTAATTGGCATTGACGTCCCGGTCGAAAGATCCAGGACTGACGCTCCGGGACCGGAAGTCGGTCACGTCGTTTGCGTGCCGGTCCAGTCCCTGGGCATAGCGAAACCGCTGCAGTTGCGCTTGCTGATGCTGCTGTTGCTGCAACCGATACGCCGCGTTTCCGGCCGAGTTACCGTTTCCGTTGTTGTTAACGAACGCCGTCTCGATAATGGTCTTCTTGTTGCAAGTCGGTAGACTGTTGCTGGACGCTTGGCGGCGTTGATGGTTGTGAACGGCCGCGTTACCGACTTCCGCCGACGACGTTGCTGCCGCCGCCGCCGCTTGCTTGTTCTTGTGGTCGCTGCCCGCGAATATGGCTGGCATCAGCAGCCTCCGTATGCCCTTTTTTTTGACGCAGTTGTCGACGTCCGGCGATTCCGCCGACGCGGTAGCAGTCGTCGCTACCGTAGGGCCCATATTATAATTTCGGAAGACGAGCACTACTGTGCGAAGTTTCAACGGTAAATTCTATATTAATAAATACGCTCCGTGACGGACGACTTGGCGGGTACACCTCACGCACCTGAAACTGACATTGTATTTCTGATTAGAATGTGCACGAAAACAAGAAACAAATATTATATAATAACGATAGGTAATAACAATAAATTACAATTATGCGCGCACGTGTGTGTGAGGTATACACTATACACACGTTATACGGCATTGTTTGTACTGGACGTTGTTATTGATGAGGCGGTTCATCCATTGTTGGACGAACGGGTTAATAATATTGTATATGAATTACGATTGTCCCCAATACATACACTATACAGGACGCTCATAAACAGTGCAACAAACGTTGACCATCTGTCTTGAGAAAGAAACCCCATTTCAACAGCGCAATAATAATATAAACGCGTACACGCAAAGTGTTTATAGTTAGAATAATAGAATACCTATATAAAACAATTTTTCGTCATAAAAAATAGGTTCATTCAAAAATGTTCCATCCATACGTTTGATACTGATCACCCTGTATTAAATCCAACGCCATTGAGTAAAGAAAGGATGGTAGTAAATCTCAACTCCCCCGAAATCGTTTGACTCCATTGAAAAGATCGAGTTCCTCTACAATAAAAGGTACACCACAAAGCATGGGTAGAAAATAACTGATCGATGATTAGAGGTTTACGCTCTGATAGGCGCGTTAAATCAATATATGACTACCGAATGACATAACGAGATGTATTTTTCATTTTCTCTAATATTGATTTTTTTTTTATTTTTTTTTTTTTATTATATACAATAACAAAATTTTAAAGGATAGACATCAATTGTTTATATATGTAATTGAAAAAATTAATACCGTTTTGTATCACAAAATATTTAAAGTTAAAATTCAATTTAATAATTATAAAATAATACATATTAAATATAATGTATATTATGCATAAGTATTTATGTTATATAACGTATAAAATGCACATCGAGTTCACAGTATTTATAAAAAAAAAAATTCAACTTAAGTAGCCTGTTCATTTTACTAATTTTAATAATTTTTTTAATTAAAATATACACCGTCGGTAAATGTATTTAGGTTAACTATAATTCAAAACACTGGTTTATCTATTCAAGAATACGCTAAATTCCTTAAAGTTATTCCTTTTTTCATACTATTTAAAATCGTTATCAGGATAAGAAAAAATTTAAACCATAAAATATTATACATTAAAAATTAATTTTTCGTGCTAACAAAAAACATTAAACAAGACTAATGGACCTTCATGATGACACATATAAAATTAATCACTAATTAATGTGAACATTGGGATGTATACTTAACATTCCCGTTCACAGAATAAATAACAGAGTGTAAATAAATAACTTTTTATCATAAATGAAATTGACTATAAAAAATCCATTGAAAAATATTTAACTCTATAGGTAAGTACATAGTTCAATATTATGAATAGATTGAGAAATAAATTATTCTGATTCATTCCCTGTTTAATATAATGATATTAAAATTAGTGAATGAATGATATTTTTTAATAGAACACTAATAATTAATCTGTTTATTCAACATATTTTATTTATTACTTGTATAATATTCTTGATAATATTACATGTATAACATATGTAAACAATAAAATGTAGTTTTAATGATAGTTGATTTACATTCTCTAAGCCATTTCTCAATGATATATTACGAATTATTTACCTACATTAATACTTATGTCTAATAATATCAATGTAAAAATGTAGAAATTCAACTCACCAATCAAATTGTATACTTTCTAAAATTTAAGTTTATTATTAAAAATACTTTCAATTAAATTTTCGGAATTAACTATTTCATAACACTAAATTTCTGCTTTCTATAAAAACTGTTTTGTGTTTTAATATTATCATAAAAATATTTATTAAAATTACCTATTGTTCATTTTAAAATATATTGTATACATATATTATGCTAAAAGACTTATCTATTACAATAACTTAAAAGTTTAAATTATTTAAATTTAAATATTTTTTATTACATTTTTCCAACATATATGATGAAATTGATAAATACTATACTAAATTAATTATATACCAAGCCAAATACACTCAGATATCTTAGATATTTATTATTTATTTATTGAAAAATGTTAAAATAAAAATTAATAAGAGTATATAAATTCTCTTACAATAATAATTATTGACTTATCGGTCCTAATCCAATATGTGCCATGATAAAATATAGTTATTTATAGGCAATAGGCATTCATAATTCTTTCTCTACTTTACACTATAAAAGGTACATGTATAAGGCATGACTTTTCTATAAAATGTATCCTCAATACATAATTAAATATTTTATTTAAAATAATTTTGCTTAACACAACATATAATATGATTAAATATAAGTATCGTAATTCATAATCAATTAAAATATCATCTTTAAAGAACAAAAAAACTTAAATATTATTAAGAATAGTTTTAAGAAAATTAACGATATACTATACATTATACAATACTTGCAAGTTTTATAAAAAATTATAGTGAATTTATATAATTTAATTAAATCTTAACATTTGTTAAAATATATATATATATTTACAAAAACAATTTATGATAACAAAATTTAAAAATTATAAGCACACATTTTTTAGAGCGTATCACGTAATCAATTAAACTTACAAAGTCATACGAAGGATATTAAGAATTATTATTGATCTGTTTTACAGGATAACGTTTCGAATATTTTATAAAAGCCACGTATGTATATTATTTTCACTCATTGTTCCATTATGTATTAATCAATATTCATTAGCTCATGACTATTCAAGGGATCAAAACACTAAGACAGGGGATTCAGATCGTCTTATGTATAAAATACAGTTTTTATTTAAAAAAATACCGTATCAAAAATAATAATTAATAAATAACTTAAAACTAATTTATTTCCGTTCTCTTAAAATAAATTTAACATATCTATGCTATAATATTTTGATTTTTAAAATAAAATGTTACGCTTGGTTATAATGAATAATTATTTATGAAAAAAAAAAATGAATTAAAATTAAAAAATTATACTAATACTTATTATATTATAGGCATAATAAGCTATACTTCATGAAAATATTTTTATTTAATGAGTTTCAAACCGATTTACTACTTCACTAAAATCATTTTTTTCCTGTAATTTGGATAAAAAAAATATTCAAACACTTATTATACAATATTTTTTTTTCAGTTTTGTATTATTGATTATTACAAATTATCTATAACGAAATACTTGTAAATAAAAACTATTTTAACTCGTAATACTAAAAAACTTTCATGCTAAAAAAATATTTTTCTTTATAATTTGCATTAGATATAGAGGACTATACTTCCGTCAATACATCATTTTGTCAGATATGTTTCATCATATTATGATAAATTATTTGGTTCAAACTTAATAAAATTATGAATTTCGAATACTGCAGCTGTATTAAAGGATATCTATAATATAAGATTGTACAATTGAACAATCGTGCAGTGAATAGTGATATACAAAACTATTATCAATGAATTTTCTAAATTCATCACACTATTTTCCAAAATATGATGAGTACAGGATACCTATGATTAGATTTCTTATTAACTTAATAGAAACATCTTAAACAAGGTTACTAGTTTACGTTTATTCGGAAAATGTATCTGAAGAAATCACAAAAAAATCAAAATGACCTTATATTATTGGCCCATTGTTGTATGCCTAAACAATACCATATAATTGGGTAAATTTACGTCTTAACATCTAGTTGTTGGCTGTTGTCATTGACATCGAATATAGTTGTACACATTTTAGCCAAAATAATAAGAAAGCGTGATTTTCTGTAAAAATATGTATTCTTATACATATAAATAATAATATTTTTTATAAATATCCAAACAAATGACGGTTATTTAAAGGAAGACATTATGCTAAAATATTCTAACATATGTTTCTCTGATTCATTTTATTTAATTTTATACTCATACACTTATTAAAAAAAAATATATATATTATTCTATTATAATCTTGTTAAAATATTATTTTATATAATATTATTATAATTATGTTTAAAAATGTATTATGTAATAATACATTCCAAGTCATGTAATTTAATAATAACAGTAAATATAATTCTTTGTACGTGAGTATTACCCATTTCCCCCGTCTTAATTTTCTCTTATTAAATACATGTTTACATTCATTTAACACGAGTTATCCTACGTCCAACATTGACCCCATTCAGTTTTAAATTATGATGGAGGCTTACTAGTTACTCGACAAAAGATAATATTATTATTATTATACAATATTCATAAGCAATATAGCAGCATTACTGATACTCATATTTTTTATTAATCCCATCCGACATATTATTTATGAATGAATTCAACAATTTTATGTAATAACATATATCGTACACTAAATACTAAAAATAAAACAAATACATGTTTTATTATTTATGATATTTATGAATATATATTTCAGATTCCTATGTAATATGTAATTATAATAATTAGATATATATTGTAATAGCCAATAGGTATAGTTGGAATTATACTGAATCGTCCATGAAAATGAAAATATAAGTTATAACCATTGATTTGATATATCTATCTACTGTTAATATTCAATAAGTAATAATAAAAATAACGTATTTATGCTTTGATAATCATTTGATAAATTACTCCTTGCTCATTTCAACGGACAATAACTATATTTATTTTTATTATTTGCACAAAAAATTATTTTGACAAGCCCTATAAATATGTGCTCCTAATTGACTTCAAGGCTGAAATATTAACTTAAATATGACTTTTATGCATTAGTATAGTTATAATTAAGTTATCACTTTCGAATAAAGAACAAAACTGTACAATTTAAATGTAGTTAAATTACACGTGACGACTAAAAACTTAAGTGTAAATTACTTTATAAAATAATAACTTGCTAGTAGTGTATAACCAAATGTATAACAAATATAAAATAAATTGAATCGTTTAACTCGAAGATTTTATAATACTTTTTGACATAATTATATATATATATATATATATATATAT